ACTGGAGTTGGTTACCAAGTGAACATTGAATGTTCCTGAGTGGCCTACAGTTTTGACTTCAATCGGCTTGAAAATATATGGCAATACTAAAAAATGGCTGTCTAGCAATGATCAACAACAAAATTGACAGAGCTTGAAGAATTTTAAAAATAATAAAGTACAAATATTGTAGACTCCAGGTGTGCAAAGCTTTTAGCGACTTACCCAGAAAGACTCACAGCTGTAATCGATGCCAAAGGTGATTCTAACATGAATTAACTCAGGGGTGTGAATACTTATGTAAATGAGACATTTCTGTATTTTATTTTGAATGCATTTGCTAACATTTCTAAAAACATGATTTCACTTTGTCATTATGGGGTAATGTGTGTAGATGGGTAAGAGAAAAAATCAAGCGTTATGAATACTTTCTGAAAGCACTGTAGCTCCATTCTTGTGTATTTTATTTTATTCCTCTTGTGTTAGTATTTTATTTTAATTTGTGTTATTCTTTTTAAACTGCCTGGTTGGGAAAGGCTCGTAAGCAAGTCTACACCAGTTGTATTCGGCGCATGTGACAAATTACATTTGATTTGATTTATTGTGTGATCGTCACTTCGGTGCTTGCCAAAATGTGCAGCACTAAACTCATTATTTAGCTGTCATCAAAACGATAATCACACAATTTAATCTAGACAATTTATATTTATTGAATAATAATTAAGAATGATTAATTAAGAATAATTAATTTTCTCCATCGATTATTTTGATCTGAGATAGTTTAGAGAGGTGACTCTAAACTGGCATGTTAGTCTGATGTTTATGGTCCAGTCACCCGCTGAGGTTTGTTTTCTCAATGTCACAAACAGCTCCTGTAGGCCCAGTGGAAGGTGGAGAGGTCAGTGAGGTTTTACTACTGTTTTATGTCGAAGAGAACCCCCGCCCAAACCCTTCAAATTTGAGCCTCATAATTTGCTAACATTGCTGACAGAATATAAATAATCTTTCATGAATGAACAATTAATAAAAAATATGTAAACAGTTAATAAAAATTATTCATAAAAATAGGTATAGTCTTGTATCAAGGACAAAAATATTTTCTATGCTTTCTTGGTTAACTTTTTTTCAATGTGATTTATTTCCTAAACCCCATCTCCCTCAGTAGCTAACCTACCCTCGCCCCACGCTGAGAGGGTTTTCTTGGGCGGTGGGAGAAAGTGAAGTGTTGAGTAAATAAACGTTGAGCAGATGTCCGACTGACCGACCAGGGGTGAACCAGGGACACCCGTCCACTTTCTGGGGCCAGCTTTGACAAAACAAAGTGAGGACTGAGGTAAATGGGTGCTAGCCTAGAAACCCTGAGGTAAATGGGTGCTAGCCTAGAAACCCTGACTTTAAAACAGCCACCAGTCACCAGGGCAGCTTTCACAAACATGTCCCCGCCACCTCCTGCCTGCCAACCAACACAACAAACCACTGCTATGTGCCTCAGCTGCATTAACAATGCTAACCCACCAGACATCCAAGTCCACTTTATAAAGAAGCACTGACTGAGACCATTTTAAGCGTTATTATAAGGACAGGGCATGACAAGTACAATGACCCAAAAAAAAATCTTACTTTATTAAGGCCTCATCATGCCAAGTGGCACATAATGCCTCGACAAAGTCCCTCCATTGACCCAAAATAAGTTTGTAAAAAAAGTCATAATATGCTGTATACCTTTCTGTAAATACAGACTCTTCTCCCTAAAGAGAATTTCAGCAGGGAATTGTACAGGGAGCACTAATTAATGGAGTAATTTAATCTCCATGGAAATAATCTGGGGTAATAGACAAAAATAGTGAGGTGTTTGAAATATGCCTTAATTGTCAGCATGTGGGTTGGTTAAGAGATGCTTATGAACAACACTCATTTTTCACAGGATTTCTCAAGGATCTTAATGTCCATCCGGAGGAAGTGTTCCCATTTATCCATGGTGGTGAGGTGACAGCTCATTGGTTTCACCACCTGCAGAGGCCCCTGTTATTCAGCCTGGAAATAACATGGGAACTGAGAAGCAGCGTAGAGTCAGAGAGGAGATAACATCAAACTGTCTACATCCATGCTGACAAAAATACATATTTCAGACAGCATCCCTCACTAAGTCTCACTGAATACCTATGAAAAGGGTTAGGCGTAGGAACTATATGTTTTAAGATAGAGAAGTGACTTATCTTAAACTGATAATACCCTTCAACCACAGCTCAAAATCAGTTGACGTTGTAGAGTTTAAAATCAGTCTAATGTTCTAGCCAAGGCAGAATTATACATGAGTCTGCATGGCGGTCAAGAAGGCATTGGAAACACTGGTCTGGCACGAATTACACGCCTGTGGTGGCCAGCAGTCGGAAGGAATTCCTGATAGGGAGCCCTGGAGAGGCATAACCCCTAGGCCGAACAAACAGGGATACGTCCAAATGGCACCCTATTCCCTATATAGTGCACTCCTTTTAACCAAAGCCCTATGGGCCCTGGTCAAAAGTAGTGCACTATAGGCCTATAGGAAATAGGGTGCCATTTAGGACACAGCCCAGGCCTCAAAAGGACTCAGACGTAATCCCTCCCTAAGTGGAACAAATGGGTGAGCTGCTTTACCGTCCGGAGGTCACTGCTCACCTGTTTTATTGAGACTCACTCTGCAAGGCAATAAGGATCAAGAAGAGCAATTAAAGACTCCTGTTTGGAGTTGGGTACAGGGAGGAAAGGAGAAATTACACGGTTCTTAGAGGAACTTTTTTTATTTCACAACTGGAATGGATCATGTTGCAGACCCACCAGTGATCAAGAAGTAAACATAGAACACATTTCTTTGGATATGAACCACTGTGCATTACTAGAGGTTTGTAATTCAAAATGTATTGTTGGCTATTTAGTAGCAACAACAGAAAGAGCAAGAACGAGAAAGAATGTGACCACATTGTCTCTAAATAAACACTTCCTTCAACTTTCCACCTGATCCCCATATCGTTTATAAAACCTAAAAGATAAAGCATCTAGCACCCATGGAATGAACCCCCTAAAGTAACAGGTGCAATCTCTAAAGTCCATGGACGTTTAGAAAAAAATACATCTGAATAAGGGTTTCGCGTGTCAAGAACCCTGTGAGGATATGGTTACTTCCAGACAGTGAGGGAGAAACAGGAAATCGCCTCACACGCGACGATTCTTTTGAGAAATTTACAGTCCTTTAGGGCTATTTTGCAATGGCTGCCCCCAGTCTCCTTTCACTTCCTCCACGGCCGCAGAGGGAGGCGAAGAGGCAGTTCTGAGCTTGCAGACTAGAGACATGGATGGAGACCCTTATCTTAGTGTAGTGATCTGCAATGGACTGATCTTTAATCACCCTTTCCTTTTTTGTTTGGCTACCTTTAGATCAAAGGCTTTACATGAGAACCTACTGTATAGATGAGAGCCATAATAATCAGAGCCTTTTGTCTGTGTGACCATGAGTGATCTAACATCACAACTTATCAAGCAAGGCCTCATTCAAAGCAAGGTCTTTCTTTGTGACCACATTATGTATACCTGTGAACTTACATAAAGCTGCATACCACAGCAATGCACTTCCTTGTCCTTGAAGAGACTATACTGAACTTTTGCCTCTGAAGATATACAGAACTATTGCCCCTAAATGGACATAAATAACATCCAGAAATGACCTCATTAGACAGAAAGAGGTGTCATGTCAAACACATATTTCAAAATCAAAGAGCAAAAGGAAAATGGGCCTTGTTGTAAAGGTTTTCCTCCTTCGGCCTGAGAAAGCCAAAAGCACCTCCTCATCCCTCACCCTCTATGGCAAACACAACCTACAGGAGGTCACGAGGTTAACAAAAGGCCAGTCAGTCTGGTCTGGAGCTTGGAGGCACTCTGTTCTCATGGCATCTGACCCTTGACCTCTTCCCCTCATCCTGTCCATCAGCTCATATCACGGACTAATGGAGATGCAGGGCCATATTCTGACTTTAGATTCATGTGGTTAACTCAAGTTTTATTTTGTTAAAATCTTCCATTGACTTCAATAAATGATTTACGCGAAAGTCTTATGTTGTTGACTTTTACACTGTCTTTAATTGTATCTTAAATCATTTAACATACACATTTACATTGCAGATAGAAACACCGGCCAGTATAGTATACAAGCAAGTTTACAACTTCAAATGAAGTTCATTTGAAAATATATACATCTCTTAATGAATCTTATTTCTTTAATTCTATATATGATATATAATTGGGACTATTTGTATGTGGAAATATAATATTCCACCTTTCGGCATTAAAGGTGATACATGAGGGAAATTCATATAACGGCATGATATAAAACAGTGTCACATCTCCACCTGCTGGCCAGTACTTACACTGCACTACATACAATTATGACTGAAACCCCTGATTCGCATAAGATGTGTACAAAACATTAGGAACTTCCTAATATTGAGTTGCACCCCCTTTTGCCCTCAGAACAGCCTCAATTCATCAGGGCATGGACTCTACAAGGTGTCAAAACCATTCCACAGGGATGTTGGCCCATGTTAACGCCAATGCATCCCACAGTCGTGTCAAGTTGGCTGGATGTCCTTTGGGTGGTGGACCATTCTTGATACACACAGGAAACTGTTGAGTGTGGAAAATCCAGCAGGGTTGCAGTTCTTGACACACTCAAGCTGGTGCGCCTGGCACCTACTACCACTTAAATATTTTGTCTTACCCATTCACCCTTTGAATGGCACACATCCATGTCTCAATTGTCTCAAGGCTTAAAAATCCTTCTTTATCCTCTCCTCTTCTTCATCTACACTGATTGAAGTGGATTTAACAAGTGACATCAATAAGGGATCATAGCTTTCACCTGGTAAGTCAATGTCACGGAAAGAACATGTGCTCCTAATGTTTTGTACACTCAGTGTAGAGTATACCCACATCTACAGTCCTCAGTACTGACTGTGACTCAAAAACAGTCCTCAGTTAATCCAACTTCACTGTAGGTCTGGGGTTGAGGCACCCAAGTAAGTGCGTAGGTCTGCAACATTTGATTTGAAGATCTTTGCTGGAATGGTGTTCATTTTCAACCGTTTGTATGCCTCAAACCGGTGACAGCCTCCAAAGGAGTAGTAGTAATTCCCTCCTTCCCTGCCCTTGATCCAGAGTATATCAATAGGAGGAACAGTGCTGATGTCTGTAGATTCCTATGAGGAAAAATAATAGGTGAGTTTTTCTATTCCATTTCAGAGGTTCTTTATCACACAGAACAGGGAAATACACCTGTTTGACGTTTGTCATGAGTCTTGTCAAAATGGTCTATATTGTAAAAATTCATGAAAACAAAAATGTAAGGTTAGGGTTATGCATTAGGGTTAGCAGTGTGGTTAAGGTTTTAAATCAAATTTGATGACTGTGGCAGAGTGACCACTCTGCAGAGTAGCCTGAAGACCCAACGTTGAATTGCATTGAATTCTACGTCGTGCAGAAATTAGCGTTTGGATCAGGAAGGTTTCCTCTCACAACTTCTACAGGCCAGAATGCTGAATAAAATGATATTTTAACTTACTTTACTGGTTGTCCGTGTGGTTGGTCCTTTTGCAGGTAGGAATGTGAGACAATATAGCCACAGGAAAGTATAATTACATCAACTTTTCAAAGCGCTGGTATACTTTCCTGTGGATATATTGTCTCACATTCATACCTGCAAAAGGACCAACCACACGGACAACCGGTAAAGTAAGTTAAAATATCATTTTAACCAACATTCTGGCTTGTTTTGAGATAATTCCCCAAACAAATGAATGGCATTAATCTCAGACTGTGAATGAGAGGTATCAGTCTGATTGTCAGGCAATCTGCAGAGCTGCCTCCAGAACAAGATTCATGAAAAAATGTGTAATTCCCCCTAGAGGTTTATCAGTCTAATACAGTAGCCTAGTCTGTCAGATGTTTCCCAATCAACAAGAGAATATTCACTGCCGTCTGTTTTTATACCACCACCACTTATCTGAACTGTCATATGGTTTGATCTTGGCAGAACAAGGACACATTTTTACCTGTATTGTATCCATAAGGCTCTGAACTTTGCGCTCATCTAGTACAGGAGGGATTGGTCGTATGATAACTTCCATTGGCACGTTATGAACTTCCTCGACATTGTCCGAGTGAATAGACCTATTTTCGCTGTTCTTCTTACTGTCCATTCTATTATGGGTGATGTTTAACTGTCTGATAGGTAAAAATGTGTGGTTTCCACTGCACCCACTCCTCAACAATCGAAACATTTGTAATTCAGTTGAAGTCGTACGGGCTTTGTAAACGCAGAAAGAGCATAAACTCATGCGTAACGACGCATGCAGCTTTCCATTCGCCAACGGCATTGTCTATCAGCGCATAGAGCTCGCCAGCAAAGATTGTTATAACTAACCCAGGATATATCACGGCCTGTCGTTTCCAATAGGAACAAATTAGTCATAGTGAGCAGAACAAGCAAGGAGGGGGGCAGAGCCAAGCACGATCTAGCGAGATCCTATTGGCGCGTTCTAGCATATATTTGCACATTTCCGTTAGGTAACGCCTACTCTGTGAAGTGCGCGTGTGCCATAACTCCAATTCGCCCTTGCACTCCTTCTAAACAACGCAATTTTTCAAAACATTGGCAAAGGGTCAAATCTACAAAGCTTAGTCCACTCTGTTCGTGACAAATTGTAGTTTTGGGAACAGAAAACTGTATTGACAGCCAATGTTTAATCGATGAGAATATTAGCGTTAATGTCGGCCACGAGGCTTCCTCTCATCACCATATTTGGTAGTGAGTGGAAACTCCAACCGGATGCTTCTCACTTATATATCTGGTGAAATATATGGCTCTTTGTTCTATCTGTGTCGCCAGCTTGTAGCACAATGAGTCAGATATTTTACCGGATGTAAAAATGTGAATCATCATTTGCGTTTCCAATCATTACCAAATTTGGCCGGCAGGGGAGAAGATGGATTTTGGCTGACATTGTGCTAATTTTCTCATCGATTAAACATTTGATCTCCATGCAGTTCTCTGATTCCAAAATTAGAATTTGTAACAAACAGAGAAAACTAAGTAAAACATTTTTGTTGCGTTGTTTAGAAGGAGCGCGAGGGCGAATTTAGTTAATAGGAACTAGAACGCGCCAATAGGAACTCACTAGCTCGTGCTTGGCTCTTCCCACCTATCTTGGCTTAGTTATAAAAAAAATCGTTGCTTGTAGTCCTAAAACCCGGAAATGAGTTACTTCTGGTTCGTTCAGCCATCTCTATAGGAAAAATGAATGGGGAAATAATAGGGTTTGGGAATTAACGCCGAAAAGAAGGTCTGAGGTTAAAACAGGCTTAGGAGATCTTATACGTTTTGTTCTATGAGATAATAGCAGTCAGTTAACATGACCATTATGAAGCCTTTATGGGATTTATGTGTTTTTTATTATTACATAAATTCTTCAAAATTCACAAAAGGTGACGTTAGCTGGTGAAGATTATCTCATAGAACAAAACGTATAAAATCTCCTAAACCTGTGTTTACCACATACCTTATTTTCAGCGTTTATCTAAAAACCCTACAAAAACGCCATTCATTTTCCCCGGAGGCTTTGCCCAACGAACCATGGCGGAGTTAGTGCCTACAAAAAAACGCCATTTTAGCCTGCTGATCGTGCCAGTAGGCACAGGTTTCCATTAACCCAAGTTTTCAATTATAACAATAATGCTTCTTTGCAGGACAAGGATTGTCCTGACATTCAAGAATGCCTGAATTGGTTGATCTTAAAATGAATGACTAATCACATTAAATAAATAATAATCTTCAGAAATTAATTTGTCAAAGCAACAAAATAACTAACGCTTTACAATGATGGTGAAAACTTGGGGAAATGTTGTGGTTATGGGGGTTAACATCTTCCTGGAAGTTCAGAGGGTGCATGGAGGGACATGTCAAAATAGTTTATTGAATTCTCCATGTGGTCTATATTAAAATGCACTTAACTGAATATAATAGGCTATTTATTCAATATTGTTTTCTACTTAAAATATCAAAGGGACACAAAAGGCACTCAATTCGTGGAACGACCCTGATACCAAACAGTCTCAGTTATCAGCCATAACATTTTTTATCTGATTTGTTAGGTGGCAAAGGAAAAACTATGGGGTTGGATTATTATGCATTACTGCATTACTATACAATCATAAAAAATCAATTTGCTGTGAATCAAAATAATAACAGTTATTTCCCCAAAGTTAATTGTGTTGCATCTCAACATGATAGAGAGAAATGTCAAAGCAAGATTTAAAAGCGCTGATATATCTTGCATAGACCTAGGGAGTTTAGTTCAACAAACAAACTGAAATGTCACAGGAACTTTTGTAAATATTATGCTTCTATAGACAATGCACCTTTTAATCAAAACCTGCAGTCAATTTACTCATAGCCCAACTGACTCTCATTAACATTCATCCTAGCAATTAGTCATGCAGTTGAAAATAATAAATAAACAGAATAAATATGCAAGCAGAATCTTTAGGTGACTAACTTTTTATAATGAGGTGTGTGCATGTTTTGAATTGTGAAGTGTTAGTACATGATATTATGCCTTTTCCGTCAAAGAACACTTGGAGTATTATGAGCGGATAAAAAGTATATTTTTGTAGGGATTTCAAAGAGCCAGTTAGGTTGCTGTGGTAACTAAAAGGAAGTCTGGGCTCAGTGCTTTTCCCATGCAGGTATTACTGGGAAGCTTCAAAGTAGTGAAGAGGCTAGAACAATTGTTGGTTTCTCCAACCCACAGTCAGGTTCTAACACTAATGAGACAATTAAAAATGAATTATTGGAAGGAGACGCAGGTCACTGCATTAAGTCATCACAAATTCTTTGAACTACAATATGATAGTGCATTAAGTATGTTTTAATTAATTGGTCACAAGGGGGATCAGCTGCAATTTATGGCCCATTTGTATAGTATGTTCAAAAGAGTTCAAAAACATCAATCCAAAAGCTTATCAACAATGTAATAGAATAAAGAGTTTACTAATGTAACAATCTCAAACAAAGCAAATTATATATATCGTTTTCAGGATATACTCAGTGTTCAAAGCATTGGCCTACTATTCTGTGGAATATAATGAAACAGATGTACAGGTAACTGCCTAAATAAAAGAAACATCAACATAAGGTGTCTTAATAGGGCATGTTGGGCCACCACGAGCCGCCAGAACAGCTTTAATGCACCTTGGCATAGATTCTACAAGTGTCTGGAACTGACTCGTTGGAAAGGTGGCAACCTATGACGGTGCATGTTGAAAGTTACTGAGCTCTTCAGTAAGGCCATTCTACTGCGAATGTTTTTCTATGGAGATTGCATGGCTGTGTGCTCGATTGTATACACCTGTCAGCAACGCGTGTGGCTGAAATAGCCGAATCCACTAATTTGAAGGGGTGTCCACATACTTTTTTATACATAGTGTACTTTGTATCCCTCATTCCTTTATTTTGGCAGTTACCTGTATATATTCTTGAATTAAAACAAAACTGTACTTTCCCTATCATATGCAACTTATTTGATGTAAATATTTGCATGACATGTGTAGGTTTTGAATACCTGAGCTGAAAATATGAACATTATCTGAGGTTACAAATCTAACCAACACATCTCTCCACTGTCAGCACATCAGCTTATTTATATATGCAATGCCACATCCAAGTCACTGCTTTGCTGTCAACCACACAAACCCCAACTTCACCATGGTGCCCCATTAGATCATCACAGGAGAGGAAGAAACCTTGTCACTCACATCCAACAGACATGTAAATGACTCCTACAGTACGTATTTCCAGAAGTCCCACTGCACTCTCTATAACCCTTAACTGTCACAGCAGCACTCGATCCCAGTACAGTAGCTAACATATCTCTATTACCAAGATTTAGTTAGTCATACAGGTACAGCATCGGGTCACGGAAGAGCAGTTCTCACATAATGATTTGCTGTTAATATTAGATTTCAGCTCCCATGGGATTGTCACACTGGAGCTCCTCAAGAAAATTACCTGCCAACTCTCTGACAGCAGGGCTATGAGCTATTTTTATTTATAACACAATGACATGCTTTTAAAGTGATAATTATTCTGACGGTGATGTTCAGTCTTTTAAACTAACTCTTTGAGAGATGTCTCTTTTAATTGTGACGGGCTTTATTAATGTCATTGCTGGATGTAGCTCTTTTTACAGTAGAAGCTAGACTGATCTGTTGTGTTCATACACTCTGTTGAACATGCATGAATGCAAAAGCTAACACATACTGTATGTGGACTATTCAGCCAAAACAGTAAAATAAAGTTGCTCTCCTCAAAAATAATGGGGGAAAATAAAACAATTGTTTGGCGAGGAGTTGGGCTTGTACCTTATTCAAGCAGTGCCCTTTTTAACTTTTGCCTGAACGCTGACTTAAAAAAAAGTGAAGCTCAGATGCTTTAAATGCATGAAAATATGATTTTGACATGACTTCAAAAGAGAAACAGAAGGAAGAGGTGGCCCCTCTGCCAAGAGAGAGAGGAGCTAACAGATGGGTTTTACATAAACAGCACAAACATCAAGAACACTGAGCTAAAGAGCTTGGCAGTCTCAGCTGATGAAACAGACCAGGGAGGAATCGAGATGCTTTAATGAGCTTCTCTGTCCTGTGATGCACATACTGAATGTGCAAAGACAAATGGTTAGCTCTTAAAGAGGCAGTTACAGTTATGGTTAGGGTGGCCTTGACTGCCTAAGAACCAACTGGTGAGGCACACACCTTTCCCACTGGGCACATATGTCAATTCAACGTATATTCCACGTTGGTTCAACGTAATTTCACTGAAATGATGTGGAAACAACATTGATTCAACCAGTGCGTGCCCAGTGTTTTGTTGACAGTAAAGACCCATTAATACCATTTTGGGACGAGGGATATGGTAATATTCTACAAGATGTTTACATTTGGATGAAGTAGTTAATTAGTCATTTGGACAAATTAAACGTTTTTGTGTTTGTTACTTTTAAAGGATCGTATTGATTTCCAGAGTATTTACTTGTCAAGAGAAGGGGACCTTTACATTGGAGTCAATCATCCAACAGATGGCGCCAGTTGCAGATGGATGCTAAGAAACAGTACATGAGACCAACACTAAAACATAGTTGTTAGAGTAATACTGTTCTTTGAGGGTCTAATAAAATAATGAATTACAAGCTCATCACATCCTAATCACAACAACATGGAGGTAATGTAATGTATTTTCTGAAAACCCTGAAC